TCCCTGAACAGAAAAAACAATCTAGCCAATCTGAGCTCAAGGGACTGAAATCTAATTCCCACCCTTAAAATCTTCTCCAGTGAAAAACTCCTCCACTAAGAAACCCTATATAAATTCTGCATCTGGCCGGGCAGTGGTGGCCCAAACGTTTAATCCTAGCACTCGGGAGGCAGAGGCAGGTGGATCTCTGTGAGTTTGAGGCCAGCCAGATCTACAACAGCTAGTTCCAGGACAGGCTCCAAAGCCACAGAGAAACCCTGTCTCGAAATACCAAAGGGGAAAAAAAATCCTGTGTCTGTTAAGTTTGGTGTTGCTCTTTTTCCACCCTGGCAGAGGCAGTCACTCTCCTGCATTCCTTCCTCTTGAATGAGGTTTGAGTGAAGACTCCGGAGCAGAGGCAGAGCGGGGAAGGGCTTGTAACACCCAGCAGAATGGAGTTGTTACATGCTGGGGCACCAGCCAAACTGTTACATCTATGGTTCAGGAAGCCCTCTCCTATCAGAGCAGAGTTGTTACAAATTGAACAAACCTTTCCCCGGAGCCAGAATGTATGCATCCCTGACCAGTGTTATTTCCTGGTCCCCGCAGCCAGAATATGCTTCCATCCAAGCTGTAACACTCAGCATTCCCTGGTCCCTGACTACCGGTATACTTTTCCATCTGAGCTGTAGCACTTATTCCTTGGCTCTCGACTGCCAGAATCCCTTTCCATCTGAGCTGCAATGCTTACATAATCTACACACATTTCCCAAAAGACTTTAAATCATCTCTAGAATGTATAAATGATATGAAGTTATGGTAATTTGTTCAAAGGATAACCAAAATCTGCAAGTTTTAAACACGTGTGCATCACTATATGGTGGGAAGTGAACCGAGGACCTTGAGCATGCCTCACAACTGTTCAACCACAGAATTGCACCCTCCACCCTTTCGCCCCACTAATATTCCCCCCAATGTGATTACTTCAATCCAAGAAAGTGGATTTCAGAGATGTAGCTAGCCAGCCCTATGTTCTGGAGGGAGGTATTGACATGCCAGCTGAATGTGGCTGCTTTATTTAGATTGTAAGAAAATGTATTGCATTGAGAATGTAGCTTTCAAAATTATCATTCCTTAAGATCTAATTGAGTTGGCCAATTTAAAAACTGTACAAATGATGGTGTTCTGCATACAGTCCCCAGTGCTGCAATCCACAGAGGTCTGTCTAGGACTAGTGAGGTTGAATGAGTGACTGCATATGCAAAGGAAGTTGTGAAGCATTTTGAAAATAAGTGTTGGGCAAGTGGAAACCCCTTCGGCAGCATCCTGAGGCCTAGGAGCATGCTCTATCCAAAAACTAGTACGTTTACATTTCCCAGGAACGTTTTATTTCAGCAAATATCATGAGTCATATTAAAGTCCAAAAAATCTTGTACTCAGTTTGTAAGTTTACTTTCATAGTGGATTTATATAAGAAGCTGAGTGTACAGCTAGGCAGTTTTTGTTCTCAGTCCCTCCTGGGGACTGTAGATTTTTGCCTACACAAAAGAAGAAACTATTACTAACTCAGGGTGTAAGACAGGGAATATGACTCGTGCCAGCAATCTCTGCACTCAGGAGGCTGAGGCAGGAGGATTGGCAAAAATTTAAATCCAGCCTGGACTGCCCTGTAGGGCCCTGCACATAAAATAAAATAGCATGATGTAATCGTTCCATATCTTCACTATTCAAGGTGTCACAATGACGCATCAACCTCTCCTCTATGCTTATTTGAACCTCCATGTTTTGAGTTTTGTCAGAATTTGCATGTCAGATTTCCTTGTACTTCTTGCCATACGACAATTTGTTGGAACATTAGCTGGAAAAGTGGATGTGATGGGAAATCACACATCTAAAAGTAAGAGCCAGACAAATTTTTGTAATGGCCATGATAGAAGTTGTGGCTAAGAATGCTCTCAAAGCAAGGGAATAGGGTCCATGCCCAGACTGAAGTCTGCAGAAATAGCTATAATTGTCCAAACTATCCATGGTAAGGTGTAATCTCCAGGGATCAAAGCATTACCTATTATTTATTTATTTTTTCAAACATATTATTTTTTGCTTTATAAATAATACCATTCAAAATTTCCACCTCCTCCCCTCCTCCCATTTCCCTCCTGCTCCCCCACTAACCCTCCCCCTGCAGTCCTAAGAGAGGGCAGGTACCCTGCCCTGTGGGAAGTCCAAAGCCCTCCCCCCTCCATCCGGGCCTAGGAAGGTGTGCATCCAAACAGACTAGGATCCCAAAAAGCCCGTCCATGCAGTAGAATCAAAACCGAGTGCCTTTATCATTGGTTTCTCCGTCAGCCCCCATTGTCAGCCACATTCAGAGAGTCCGGTTTATATTTTTGTATTTATTCTCTCTCTCTCTCTCTCTCTCTCTCTCTCTCTCTCTCTCTCTCTCTCTCTCTCTCTCTCTCTCTCTCTCTCTTTCTGTTTTTAACAAAGACAAATTCTCCCTCAAGAAGCAATCTCATATCCGGAAATAACTATTCTGAACCAAGGCCTTTTCAGTTTCATGACCTAGGACAAGAAATTCTTTAGTCTTGAGTGCTATTTTGGATTTCTGAAGTTAGTGTAAACAACTCCACAAAGCTGGTAACTTAAGACAATGAAAATTTCAATTTCTTTTCAGGCAGTTCTGGAGGCTGAAAGTCTGAGGTCTGGGAAGGCCACACTCACTCCAGAGTTGCAAGGAGGAGAAATAGTTCCTTCTCTTTCAGCTTCTGGTGGCTGCACATACCTTCTGGTACTCGTGACTTCATCTTTACATTGCATCTTAGTCGTGACAACATTTACCAGGTTTGCCTTATGTCTGTAACCACACTGTCACAAGGCTTCAGGCATAATGATCTACTTCAGTATATAGTCCTCAATTCAAAATCCTTAACTGAATCTACTATTTTTCTCATCTACAGTAATATTCACAGGCTCCACATATGAAGATGTAGATATATCTTTTGAGTGAGCTGCTTTTCAACCTACCACAGAGCATGGTTTAAATCACTGGTTCTAGCCGGGCGGTGGTGCACACCTTTAATCCCATCCCTCAGGAGGCAGAGGCAGACAGGTCTCTGTGATCTACAAAGAAATCCTGTCTCGAAAAAACAAAGTCAACCAACCAATCACTGTTTATTCTTTGAACCATAGCACGTAGAGCTTGTCTACTTATGAGTCCTCATATAAGCTATGAGATTGTGAGGGCTACAGAGACAAGCAATGAGTTCACAATTTGGATGAAGGGTTTGGGGTTTCAGGTGTCTTGTTGTTACCATGGACTGAACCCAGTGTCTTGCACACACTAGGCAAGTGTTCTATCACTGAGCTACATCCGTAGACCAGGCTTTAGTCACTGAGTCAGAGTTCCTCCTTCATTTTCATACTGGGGTTTACAGATAAATAAATGACAACAAAGCGGTTGATAAAATCAGTTTATGATCATTTCTATCATAACAAGAACAGCTAACACAAAATAATTGTAATCTAATTAAAACATTTAATAAACACCTCTGCTTAATAATTGTAAGCATTTTCCATGTCCTACAGTGGCAAGGAATTACAATGAAATTACACACATATACATACATATCATCCTTTCCAATTTGACAGAATATGGTGTGTCAGTCTCAGCAAAACAGGAGATGTTAGGAACAAAGTGTGCCTCATTTTAAAGTTAGGCCACATGTTCAAGTCTGATTTGAGAGGCTTTTAATTTGTACTTTATCACACTCCTGACTCCTGTGGATGTATATAGCTTTTCTGCCAACACCAACACAGGGAGAGCACACAGGCCTACTTTACACAGTCTCTGAAAAATATGGGCTAGATAGGAGTCACCCATATGATTATCTGAAAATAGAAGCTGAGCAGGACCAGGGGCAAGTGATTTACAGAGGGCATGCTGACTAGTGCAGGACAATGAGAAAAACAGGATAGGACATAGGGAGGGGAGGGAAAGAGATGAAGGCAAACAAACTGCTTTTGCCATTATTTGAAGAGAGGCTCTGGAATAGGTTATGCAGTATGAATTGGTTATTCTTAAGGCAAAAAAATCATTGTAGCTTGAACCCTCACCATCAGGCAGACCCTGGACACAAGTGCACAGGTTGGTAGTGTGATCATGACACTCTTATAGGCAGGGAAGCTCTTCTATGTATTTGGTTGGAAGTGTCTCCCCAGCCCCTGGGTCCACGTGTCCTGGGAGTCTGAAATGCATCCCAGGCTCCTCCTCTGGGAGTTGCCTCAGTTCAGACTCCACCTACGAGAAAGCATCCAAAAGATGACCCCTCCCCAGAGAGACTCAAGACCACGGCCACATGGTATTTAAATCACACCACCCCCAAACAAACACGTGGTCTTTCCAGTCTTCCTTTCCCCTCTCCGGGGGTTTTTCCGGTCTTTCTGCCGGGAGCGCTGGCTTCCATTAAACCTGGGCCTTTACTTCCGTGATATCTGTTAGGGAAAAAAACAAAAAACAAAAACAAAAAAACAAAACAAAACAAAAACACAAAACAAAACCTTGGCTTTTTCTAACTCGGTTTGATTTGGTCTGATTTGGATTATTGCATCGACTGAGAGGCTTAACGGGGTGTAAAAACTTTTCATCTCCAGAAGCTTAAATGGGTCACGATGAACTATCACATAAAATGAATTTCAACTTCACAGTGATTGGTAACCTTGTGAATCAACCTCCAACAAATGAGAAAGGGGAGGAACAGTTGAAAGATCTCTGCACGCAGATATTGAACCTCTCAAACCGAATTAAAGGTGAAAAGTCCAGATTTAATGAGTACGAGCTCCCAGATGATTTCTCGACCACCAGAGAGAAGGGGGAAAGAGAGCAATAAACCCCATAGCCGGTCTCTAGGGGGACAGTTTAGATGCCCTGTAGGTGTGGTCTTGAGCATCTCTGGGGGAGGAGCTGACAAAGGGCGGGTTTTCTCATGCCTGAAAGGGTTTGAAGAGAGATGGCGGGAGGGAGGGGGGACCAGTAGGTTTCCACCTGAACACCAGTTATTTTACATGCTTCGGCATAAAAGATGCTCGGCTGTAACAGTGAGCTAGCCCGCCAACGCCTAGCAACTCTCAGGGCTGGAGGTTGGAGTGGGCAGCGGACGTCTGCGGAACGCTTGGTGGGGTGGGACCGTGTCCTAGGTGACACCGGAAGGATACCGCGAGATTCTCAGGAGCTGCGACCTTCGCAAAGGCTTTTGGAACCCGGTCCGGTATGGCTACTGAGGCTGCTGCTACTCCCTGGAGGCCGCAGGTCTGGCCCGATCGGTCTCAGGGGAGGGGGTGGACAAGGCGGGATGTTGCGGTTCCTCTTTCTGAATCAAGGCTAGAAACGTACAGCCACAGGAGGCTCAAAGAGACGGGAACTGAAATGAGGTGGGAATAAGACTGAACGAACTCACGGCGACTGTTGATGACGGCACACCGGGGTGTATCGCTGTTTCCGGAGTGCTGATCTCGGTGTTTGGTTTTTGTTTTTGTTTTTTGTTTTATTTAGGTTGTTGGCGGTCCGCGAGCAGCCGTCTGCAAGGATGGACGCTGAAAGATAAAGCGGAGAAAAGATCTCGGAAGAAAGTGTTGCTGGCCGGTACTCATTGGGCCCTTGGTTTCAAATTCATTCGGTCTTAGGTGGGGTGGTTGTTTTTTAGTACAAATTATTGACTGCTGCTGCTGGTACATTCTGTGGCTTCCCTGAAGGCTGTGTGCTGGGAGGAAATTAGGTTTTATTTTCGCCGCACTTTACATTCTGAAGTTGTTATTTATTTTTGAATTGGAGCAATCACAGCACAGAGTTAGGAATCTGGAGACTGCCCTGGGGGAAGGATTGGACCGCTTTCACAGCTTTTGGGCAGCAAGTAAAGCAATACTTTGCTCCAGACATCCCCCCCCCCCCCCGCCGCCCGCAGTGCCTTTTAGCTCCCTGTGCAGCTGTTTGTCAGAAGTGGGGAGCAGAGGAGATCTAGTAATACTTCAGGCCCAAAGTGGTTTATTGCTGGCAAGAGAATTTGATACTATACTTAAGAGCAGGACCCCTCTGGGAAAATCAGTCTTAACTGAGGTCAAAGTCTACCCTTTCTCTTGGATCTGTCTGTAATCTGTTTAGGACGTAGCAACGCTCCAAGCATCTGAAATTCTTCTGTGCTAGTTGTTTGTTTAATAAGCCAATCAGTTGACAGCATGAAACCCTAAACTCATCAAAATCTGAAGTAAACTTTTAATGAGTCTGAACGGCCCAACCTTCTTCTTTGTTAACGATAGACTAGAGTGTAGAAGGTAATCCAAGTTACTAATTCTTAAATTTGTCTGTGCATCGTCTTTATCTGAGGGACTTGTTAAGACGCAGACGAATGGGCTTCACTAATAGAATTCTTCCATCAGTTTTTGTGGGATGTTTTCCAGATTTTAGATGTCTAACAATTTCCAGGAAAAAGCATTCACCATAGGCCCACCCTTGGAAAATTGTTGAGCTGTTATTCATGTGTCTTACATGTGTATCAGCATAACTATGGATGTGACCCAACACATTGCTAGGCCACAACTTTCTGTTACAATGTCAAACATTTGAACACATCCTGGAACAGAGCTCACCTGTAAACATGAAAGTGTTGCTGGAGGGCTTCAGTGCAAGTTACCAAGTAGTGTTCCTGCTGACCTGGCTCAGAATGCTCTCTTCTAGTAGCAAGAAAAATAGTATTTATTTTGTTAAAATTAAGGAAAGACCTGTCGTCTTCTTCTTCTTCTTCTTCTTCTTCTTCTTCTTCTTCTTCTTCTTCTTCTTCTTCTTCTTCTTCTTCTTCTTCTTCTTCTTCTTCTCTCTCTCTCTCTCTCTCTCTCTCTCTCTCTCTCTCTCTCTCTCTCTCTCTGCCTTGCCCTTGGCAGTGTTATAGGAAAAAAAATGAAACAAATATTAGGAAATACGTGACTATAGTTTGAGCTATGGAATCAGGTTAAAAGAACTGGGAACTAGTCCTTCCTCCACATACCAGGACCTTTAGGTTGATCCATTCCTACTGCCAAATGGTATTTCTTGTGGGATTCCTAATTCCTGGGGACTCATAGCACTTGGGAACTCTTGGAAGCCTAAAACACTCCCAAATGGAGTTTGTTTACATGTCACCTGGAAAAATTTGTGTCTATATGTGTGCATACTGATGCCTGTGTGTGCCAGTGCTCCACCTTGTACCATCTGTTAAGTAAGAAATAAGAAAAAGGTCAACTCCACTGGCACAAGAAATCCAATTAGGCCAAATCAAAATGCCCATCATCTTATTAAGAATGGCCTAGCACATGGTGGGGAGACATGACATCAGGGAGCCCATGCAGACCTGAAAAGCACGTGTTTCTCCTCCAGAGAGGTGTCAGGACCTGGCATGCTGGGATTTGGAGTCCAGACCAAAGCAACTCTGGGAGTAAGGGAAGCTGGGATGGATGCCAGGGGCTGGGGGCTATGCTCCCAACTCAGCACCATCCACCGTTTTTTTGAGAGAGGTTCATGTTGTACTGTCACTCAAAAAGATCTGCCTGCCTCTGCTTACTGAGTCCTGGGACTAATGTGCACCACCACACTCGGGTTCAGCTGGTTTTTTGACACAGGGGTTTGTTTATCTCTGCCTAATAGTGGTAGGGCCACTGAAATGTCCAAAGCGAGTGAGAAGACACGAGATGCAAACAAACCCATTTAGGAGTTTATTAGAAGAGAGGGGTGCTCACAGGCCTGAGGAAACGTGTGGGGATGGGGGAGAGGGCAAAGATGGCGTGTCTAGCTTTTAAAGACTGCCTAGCACATGCGCACAGGGGCAAGACGTGACCATGTCAGACACTGATGACGCAGATGGCGGGCGACCCACACATGCTCAAAAGGGCTTAAGTCACACTTGTAGGTAACCACGCAGGTGCACCCGTGGGTCACGAGGGCCCTTTTGTTTATTAGAAAAATTTGGGGAGTTCGAAGATCTTAATGGGTGGGAATGGGGCACCATAAAGTCTCTCATGACTGCTTCACGCTGACTTTGTGGGTGTCGAGTTGGGATGTTTGACCACATCCTGGGGTGGCTGATCACGGCTGTATTTTCCAGGCTCTGAGGAACTGGGTCGGCTGGTAGTTTGGACCTCGCAAGATGCTGGAAGGAGAAAAATTATGTTTGGGAGGGAAAAAAATTAGATCCTAGTGATTAATAGAGGAGAGTCCCAAGATGGAAGATAGAGGGGGAGGGGGTTTAGGGGTTCCCCATACCAGGAATGACAAGAAAAGAATTTTAAATGATACTTATTGGGTGAGTCTGGCCTCTGTTTAGGTAGGGCAAATTGGCTCCCTGGAGCTTATAAGAATGTTTGAAGAGAAATTTTAGACATAACAGCCGCCACACACACACTGCATTTTTAGGTGTTTTCGGGAATGAACTCAGGCCCTCATTGTAGGGAATGAGTCTTCCAGCTCTGGAGGTGCAAAGATATCCTGACTTCTCAGGAAGCCAGGCTATCTGAAGGCTCGAGCTGCCAGCAGGGACAGCTCAGCCCTGACAGCTGTCCTGACTAGGGCAGCCAGGCTGCCCGAAGGTGGGGTATGGTCTCCCCACAGGATATAGGGATCCTGCTCTTCTCCTGGAGCCGCTACAGCTGAGCTCTGCTGTTCCCTTACAGGAACGTCCTAGCAGAGCTATCTGCTTCTTCTCCTGCCCAAGATGTTTCTTCTGTTTACTCCTCTAGGGGAAGCCCCCGCAGAAATGTAGCTCTGCGAGAAGTTGTTACTTTTCTGCTCTGCCTCGCTCAGCCCCCTCAGGAGGTCTCAGCCAGGTTTTTCTGTTGTGCTCCGCAGCCTTGCTCAGCTTCAGTAAGGAGCGTCCTAGCAAGGTTCTTCTGTTGTGCTCCGCAGCCTTGCTCAGCCCCCTAAGGAGCGTCCTAGCAAGGTTCTTCTGTTGTGCTCAGCTCCCTTGCTCAACCCCCTAAGGAGCGTCCTAGCAAGGTTCTTCTGTTGTGCTCCGCAGCCTTGCTCAGCCCCCTAAGGAGCGTCCTAGCAAGGTTCTTCTGTTGTGCTCCGCAGCCTTGCTCAGCCCCCTAAGGAGCGTCCTAGCAAGGTTCTTCTGTTGTGCTCCGCAGCCTTGCTCAGCCCCCTAAGGAGCAGCTCAGCAAGGTTTTTCAGCTTGGTCCCCTGAGGGACGTCCCAGCCAGGTCCTTCTTCTCTGCTGGCGAATGAAGGTCTTCACCCAAGACTCTTTAGAGAAAGAGATTAATTGGGGAAGGAGTCCAGGAAAGTGGCTTCTAACTGAAGCTGCAGAGAGGTTTATATAGGGCTTCTTAGGGGTGGAGTTTTCCCAGGGCGAAGGGGGATTGGTCAGTTTTTCCTGCTCAGGGATTGGTTAGTGTAGTTGGTCAGGAGCAGAGATGGCTGTGATCTCAGGACCAAACTGTGTTTCTTTCACTGGTCTTTTTTAGCCTTTAGGCTCTAATCTTAGGGCCAGAGCATATTTCTTTCACTGACTCTGATTCTAGGGACAATGTGTGTTTCTTTGGCACTGGTTTCAGACTCAGGACCTGTTTCTTTGGTCCTGGGTTCAGGGATAAAGATGTTGTTTCCCTGACTCAGGTCTCAGATTCAGGGTGTGTTTCTTTCCCTGGCTCTGGGTTCAGAGTCAGGGTGTTCAGTGATTGGTTGGTCTCTTGTTCCAGTTGGCTATTTTACCCTAGACTCACGCCTGCATGGCAAGTACTTTACTGAGTGAGCTATCTCCCTAGCATAATAGAAACAGCTTATCATTAGTAGAGCCTAGTCTGGTATGCCTGTAATTTCAGTACTTGGGAAGCAGAGGAAGGAAAAAATCACAATTTAAAGGCAACCCTGACCTATATAAGGAGAACTTGTCTGGAAAAAACAAAGAAACTAACTGTTTATAATTAGCACCAATACTTGCAAATGGTGTAGGAGGTTCTTCTGTTTGTGTGTTGCTTTCATTGGTTGAATAAAGAGACTGCCTTGGCCTTTGATAGGGCAGCCCTTAAGTGGGCAGAGTAGACAGAACAGAATGCTGGGAAGAAGGGAAGTGTGGCAGACGACATGTAGGTTAGAATCTTGCCAGTAAGCCACAGTCACAGATGTAATAGAAATGGGTTTAGGGCTGGAGAGATGGCTCAGAGGTTAAGAGCACTGGCTGCTCTTCTAGAGGTCCTGAGTTCAATTCCCAGCAACCACATGGTGGTTCACAACCATCTGTAATGAGGTCTGGTGCCCTCTTCTGGCCTGCAGGCATACACACAGACAGAATATTAAATACATAATAAATAAATTAGATGGGACTCCCTCCCATCTAATTGAAAATTCAACTCACGAGTTCATCTAATTCTTCTTCCCAGGGCAATTCATGTATCCCTCCTAGGATCCTACTTGTTGCCTAGCTTCTCTGGAGCTGTGGATTGTAACCTGGTTATCCTTTGCTTAACATCTAGTATTTCACTTATGAGTAAGTACAGTGGGACCAGGATCTGTCCCTGGTCCATGAACTAGAGCTTGTTGGAGCCCATTCCCTATGGTGGCCTGCTGTGTTCAACCTAGATATTGGAGAATAGGGCTTGGTCCTGCCTTCGAGTTATACACCAGACATTGTTGACTCCCCGTGGGAGGCCTTACTTACCCCTTGGGAGGAGTGGATGGGGGATAGGCTCAGGGGTAGGTGGGGGGAGGGGTTAGAGGAGGGTGAGACAGTGAACTGTGGTTGGAATGTGAAATGAAGTTTAAAAAAAAAACTGTGTGCCAGTTACCTCATTTTTTTTGTCTTTATTGTTATTTTGTCTCTCTCCCCCCCCCCCCCCCCCCGCCAACCCTGGAGCTGAGGACTGAACCCAGGACCTTGCACTTGCCTAAATATTCTAAGAAAATTGGGAGCCTTGGAGGGGGTGGGAGAAGGGAGAGCGGTGGAGGGGAAGGGGGAGGAGAAAATGAAAGAATGGGATAGTCGAGATGGGGCAAGGACAGAGAGGGAGAGCACAGAAGGAGATATCTTGATTGAGGGAGCCATTATGGGGCTAGTGAGAATTCTGGCGCTAGGGAAATTCCCAGGAATCTACAAGGATGATCCCAGCTAAGACACTAAGTAGTAGTGGAGAGGGTGCCCGAACTGTCCTTCCCCTGCAATCAGATTAGTGATTACTTTAATTTTCATTGTAGAGCCTTCATCTTGCAACTGATGGAAACAGATGCAGAGATCCACAGTCACTGGCTGAGTGTTGAAGGTGCCATGTTAGCCAAGCTCCAGTTGAAGAGAGGGAGGAGCGATAATATGAACAAAGGTGTCAAGACCATGATGGGGATACCCACAGGACAGCTCACCTGAGCTAATCGGACTCTGGACTGACAGCAGGGGAACCAGCATAGGACCAAACTAGGCCCTTTGAATGTGGGTAACAGTTGTATGACTGGGGCAGACTGCGGGCCCACTGGCAGTAGGACCAGGATTTATCCCTACTGCTTGTTCTGGCTTTTTGGGATACTATTCTCTTTGGAGGGATACTTTGCTCAGCCTAGATATAATGGGTGAGGGTTTTGCTCCTGCTCAAAGTGATGTGGTAGACATTGTTGACTTCCTTACCTGCTCTGAGGAGTGTGGATGGGGAGGTGGGATGGGGAAGGTAGGGGGAGCAGGAGGAGGGAAGGGAGTGGGAACTGGGATTGGTATGTAAAATGAGAAAAGATTGTTTTTTAAAAAATAAGTAAGGGGAGCAGTGCGGCTTGGAGCCCGCCAGCCCGTGTCTCCGGCGCCAGCTACGCCGCTGTGGCTGTCACTATGGCCCATTACAAAGCCGCGGACTCGAAGCGCGAGCAGTTCCGGAGGTACTTGGAGAAGTCGGGGGTGCTGGACACGCTGACGAAAGTGTTGGTAGCCTTATATGAAGAGCCAGAGAAGCCCACCAGTGCTCTGGATTTTTTAAAGCATCACTTAGGAGCTGCTACCCCGGAAAGCCCAGAAATAGAGCTGCTTCGCCTAGAATTGGCAGAAATGAAAGAGAAATATGAAGCTACTGTAGAAGAAAATAAAAAACTGAAAGCAAAGCTTGCTCAGTATGAGCCACCTCAGGAGGAGAAGCGTGCTGAATAGGATTCTTCTCAGTTGAAAAGACACTGAAAACTGGTTTTGTATCACTTGAATAGCTTGTATAGTATATAATCTTTCCTGAAAAGATGCTATAAACTTTTAATATGTAAAATCCACTCATCACACTTTAATGTTATAAACACATATACATAGAATCACCAATAAAAACTCAATATAAAAAAAAAAAAAAAAAAAAAAAAAAAAAAAATAAGTAAGGGCCAGGCATTGGTGGTGCATGCCTTTAATCCCAGCACTCGGGAGGCAAAGGCAGGCGGATCTCTGTGAGTTCGATGCCAGCCTGGTCTACAAGAGCTAGTTCTGGGACAGGCACCAAATCTACAGAGAAACCCTGTCTCAAGAAAAAGTAATTAAAAAACACATTAAAAATAGGAGAAAAAAGAAAATTCAACTCACTTTACTATTTCTCCATTGTCTATACCCTCCAGGTTCACAGTTCAACTCTGCTCCCATGAATCTGATTGAGATTTCTACAGCCTGTGAGAAGGTAGAGAATTGGGCCTGGGCAGGCCTAGCTATTGTCACGCCATACATATTCCATATATGCTGTTGCAAATGAAAGAATTCACTTTCTTGGGTGTGGCAGGGGGCATGTTTTAATATAGGCACATGTGCACTGCCTGCTTTTGGATGGTGGCTTCCTCCAATTGAAACACTGTCCAGGAGGGATCAGGAAGTCTTGTAAGCAGACAGATGTCTGCGAGAACAGAGAATTGGAATATTTTTGAGGGCCTCACTAGCAGTATAAGGAGTAAACAGCCGCTGGGTTTGGAGACCGGGAAACCTAGCTTCAGAGAGAAGAGATTCTCAGACTGTCAAGCAACCCTTTCTGAACATTGCCCGTGATGAGAAGGGCTTTGGTGATGTGGCTGCTTTTGAGGTAGCTCTGCTCGCTGTAAAGTGAGCCCTCCCCATACTCCTGTTAGTAACTCCAGTGAAAAGTCACTGCTTCAGCAAGGCAGACTTCGGTACAGTTGTTACTTTAGACTGTTGCAGGCTCCCTTTCTGAGGTCAGTAGATGTGTGTCTTGTTGGTTGTCTCCCCAGCAAACATCTGGCTGGAAGGGAATTTTCCACGTCATTCTTCAGGCCATACATACAATTTTATTCTTTTTTTTAAAAATTTTTAAAAATTTATTCAGAGATTCAAAGTTCTGTACAATTTAATTGATCTCTATTTCTCCATTCTTTTTTTTAATTTATTTATTTATTAAAGATTTCTGTCTCTTCCCCGCCACCGCCTCCCATTTCCCTCCCCCTCCCCCAATTAAGTCCCCCCCCTCCTCAGCCCAAAGAGCAATCAGGGTTCCCTGCCCTGTGGGAAGTCCAAGGAACCCCCACCTCCATCCAGGTCTAGTAAGTTGAGCATCCAAACTGCCTAGGCTCCCACGAAGCCAGTACGTGCAGTAGGATCAGAAACCCATTGCCATTGTTCTTGAGTTCTCAGTAGTCCTCATTGTCCGCTATGTTCAGAGAGTCCGGTTTTATCCCAGGCTTTTTCAGACCTAGGCCAGCTGGCCTTGGTGAGTTCCCAATAGAACATCCCCATTGTCTCAGTGTGTGGGTGCACCCCTTGCGGTCCTGAGTTCCTTGCTCGTGCTCTCTCTCCTTCTGCTCCTGATTTGGACCTTGAGATTTATGTCCGGTGCTCCAATGTGGGTCTCTGTCTCTGTCTCCTAATAGCCAGAACCTGGAAACAACCTAGATGCCCTTCAATGGAAGAATGGATGAACAAAGTATGGAATATATACATATTAGAGTACTACTCAGCAGTAAAAAACAAGGGCTTCTTGAATTTTGCATGCAAATGGATGGAAATAGAAAACACTATCCCGAGTGAGGTAAGCCATACCCAAAAAGAGGAGCATGGGATGTACTCACTCATATTTGGTTTCTAGCCATAAACAAAGGACATTGAGCCTATAATTAGTGATCCTAGAGAAGCAAAATAAGGAGAACCCAAAGAAAAACATATAGGCATCCTCCTGAATATTTCTCCATTCTTATCTCAAATATTTATCACCATTGATATCTAGTAGGACTACCGTCATTTTAATTAATTTAATATCTAAAATTTTTATCTTGAAACTTATGAAAATGCACTTTCAATATCAATGCTTACCACTATCTTTACTGTAATGGTTTAGATAAAAAGCTGTGCAGTTTTCTGAAGGGCAGCAGCGGACAGAGGGCCACGAGGGGCGGGATCCTACCACCAGAGGCCTCTGTACATCCAAAGGGGGTGGGTGGGAGGTGGTGGATAAGAGACCTCAGCAGGTCAGTGTGGCAGCCAGTCACACAAGGAGATGAGGCAGGTGAGGGATAAATATGCCATGCAGAGAGAGGGGTTGGGTATAGTTTATTCAGTGGGTTATGGAAGGAAAATGTAGGGGGACAGAGGGAGAGAGAAAGAGAGAGAAGAAGAAGGAGGAGGAGGAACAGAGAGAGGAGGATGCAGACATGGCAGAGAGAGTATGTAATGATTATTAAAAATTGCTGCGGATCCCTGAGTAGCTTGCTTCAGGATCCCCCTCAGGCAGGGGGCAGCAGGTCCCAAGAACAGCCAGTCTCAGAGAGACCACAGTAGGTCTCCGAAGGTAGCTACAATTTTATTCTTTAGCTAGGGTCTCTCCTTGGCCTGGGACCTCTCATGTAGGTGTGAGGTCTAGGGATCTGCCTGTCTCTATTTCCCTAGCCCTGTCACAACATTTTAAAAATAGATTCCTTTGTTTTATTTTATGTGTATGAATATTCTGCTCACATGTATGTCTGTGCACTGTGTGCATGCCTGGAGATCAGGAAGGAGGGTTTCAGTCCCCTGAAAAAACTGGAGTTATGGACAGTTGTGAGCCACCATGCAGGTGCTGAACAAGTGCTCTTAACTGCTAAACCATCTCTCCAGCCCCATGGGCAGCATGTGTGTGTGTGTGTGTGTGTGTGTGTGTGTGTGTGTGTGTGTGTGTGTGTGTGTTTGTCCACTCTAGAGTTAGTGGGACCTAGGAGAATAGACCAATAAATGAAGCAGACTAAAGTCTCATGCAGTAGCCAGCTTTATTAAACAAAGCATCAGACAATTTATACACTGAGGATAAGAAGAATCACATGAGTCAAGGTCCCACGAGCTCAAGCTGTATACAATCACAAGAACAAGCCACACATTGCAAAAACATGTTTTTCCATAGCGGCATATCAAGAATAGTTTAAACATTTAGTTGAATAACAGCAGCAAGCAAGAATAATCTGAAGTAAATGCACTCCTATCTGTCAGCCTGGGAGGAGCATGAAAACACATTCCAGGAGCAATTCCATGTTTTGAAGGAACTCGGGTCACAAGACTCTTGTTTTCTTGGAGTGTTCTCATAACTACTCAGAATTCTCCTCACACTCCTGGACTGTGTTCAGGCTGTACGTGTGTGTGTGTGTGTGTGTGTGTATGAACTTGTATGTGGGTGTACACACATTCACACACACACACACACATATATATATGTATATGTACCATATGGTGGTCAGAGATTGATTTTGGGTATCTTCAATGTCATATTTTTTGACACAGAATCACACACTGAATGAGGACCCATGATTCACTTGGTCTGGCTGGTCAGCACTTGCTTGGGGCTTCTGTTTCCCTACCTGCCCAGGGGTAGGATTCCAAGTTACCCCTCCAGGAGTTTTTATGTGAATTTGGGAGGTTGAATTCAGATCATAATGCTTAGGGGATGAGCACTTTACAGATGGAGAGTTCTCCATAGACCCCTGACCCAGTATTTTGTACTTGGGTCCTGAGGATGGCATTAAGGTCCTTCTTCTTGCATGGCAAGTATTTTATAGATTTTTATCACTTCAGCAACTGAACTGTGCTATCACCCAGTCTCAGAACTTACTTCTTTTTGAAGGCTATCGAGTGTTCAATTGTATATATATGCAATTTTTTTTTTTTTTTTTTTTTTTTTTTTTTTGGTTTTTCGAGACAGGGTTTCTCTGTGGCTTTGGAGCCTGTCCTGGAACTAGCTCTGTAGACCAGGCTGGTCTCGATATATATGCAATTTTTTATCCACCCTTCAGTTGACGAATGATTAATTTTGCCATCTTGGTAATGCTTAATTCATTCAGTATTGGCATGTATCTCTTCCTTCCAGTTACCAATTTCTTATCATTTTCATATGAAAAATTTCTGATTGGCGACATCACTCAGTGGTAGAACTCCTCCTGCCTGACATGTGCCTGGATCTGTATTCTATTCATAAGACCCATAATGTAAGTAGAATTAATATGTATATAATGTTGAAATCTTTTCCCTTTTTGAGTTTTCAAATGTTGTAATTAGTAAGGGAAGTACTAATTTCCCCTCTAATCTTCATTGAGTTCCCTAGCCCATAAATTCTCCAGCATTTACCTGTGCCCTTGTGTAGTCGTACTTTCTTGTTGGAACCGCCAGCTCGCAAATAATGATCGGAGACTTATTATTAATTATGAAAGCTCGGCCTTAGCTCAGGCCTGTTCCTAACTAGTTCTTATAACTTAAATTAACCCATATTTTTTAGTCTACTTTCTGACACATGCCCATCCTGCTTCCTCGGTGTTTGGCTGATGACTCAATCTTTCTTTTCCCCAGAGTTCTCTCTCCACCTATACCTCCTGCCTAGCTATTGGCCATCCAGCTTTTTCTACACCAATCACAGAAATACATATTCACACGGTGTACAAATATCCCACGACATTTTTGATTTTTTTTTCTCTCTCAAGCTGTTCAGCTGCCACATCTTCGGCTATTCAGAGGAATTTTGATTTGATAGAACTCCATATATTAGTGTTTTCATTCATTCCTTTTGGAGTAAGGTCAAAAACTCATTACAAAGACCAGTGGTCTATAATTTTTTTATTTTTATATCTAGAATTTTTACATCGCAGATCTCATATAACAAAGTATATTTGTTCATGTTGTTCATTGTCATATGTATTGTTGTATGCATTGTACTACTAAGGTGGTCTTCCCTAAATTAAATTAAGAAAAGGTGGTTTTCAATTTCTTTTTTTTAAGGTTTATTTACTATGTATACAGTATTCTGCCTGCATGCCAGAAGAGGGCACCATATCTCACTATAGATGGTTGTGAGCCACCATGTAGTTGCTGAGAATTGAACTCATGACCTTTGGAAGAGCAGGCAATGCTCTTAACCTCTGAGCCATCTCTCCAGTCCCACCATTATGGATTGCTTTGGTGGTTTGTACACAAAGCGAATAACACAAAATACTTGTTTTCATCCCCTCTGAGTTTCTCTTTACAGTAGAACTTAGAGTTGTACTCAATCCATCATCAAGGAAAAAGGACATTGACTATTTTCTGGTAATAAACTATATGTGAAGTAAGCATCAAAAGGACAGACTAATGGGCAGAGAAAGCATATCAGGAATCAATATTTAGAAAACAATGTAGGTAGTTTTGTTTTCACCCTTGGTAATGATCTCCCCTACCACAGAAGACATTGTCGCTGTAAAAGCACATCAGAAATATTGCTATGGCCAATCTTCATTTAAAGCCACCTTTTAGAGACTGGTCTTAATAGTCTCCTGGAAAATGGCAGATAATTACATCTGCCTTTTACATCCAGTTGCCAGCCTGTAAATGGGCAGAACATATTGTCAGGAGTTTCATTAAGCTGCCTTCCTTTCATGCTGCCTTCCAGATCATTGTCCAGGCAAGTTACACAACAAAGGCAAGTCTAGATCCAGCAGATGCACAACAAATAAAAGCAACGAAATCCACTGAATCCGACATAGTGGTACAGTGGAGTAATCCAAATTCTCGGAAGGAGCAGGTCCCCATGGGCTGCTAAAAAACGACCAGTTCAGTGAGGAGTGATAATGTGCAAAATTTAAAATAGAATAAATGAGACAGGATAAAAAGAGAAAAGCCAGGTAGTCACCAAAACAATAAAACTATAGCAATTCCAAAGGGCTGTTGTGGCATATGCCTGTTACTTCAGCCCTCTGATACCTGCTTTGAGTTCAGCCCTAGGCTACAGTGTGAATTCCAGGGTTGTTAGAGCTCTACAGTGAGCTACTCTGTAGCACATATTCTCCTCCCAGTTCACATGCTTGCTTAGTGACAGATTGGCCACTCACTCAGTTCCAGAATCTGTCTGTGCTCATTAGGTATGCACTGAAATCTGGTAGTAACCCAAACTTTGGGGATCAAACTGGCTAGAGATTAGAGTAGGCTGGAATCCAGGTAGTGCGCTTCCTGGCACTTCCTGCCTGCTCTTGGAAGCATGCAGAGCCCTCACTAAAGCAGATACAGAGAGAAGTGTTATGAGGGTTCCCTGGCCAGCAGTTGAGCCTAATTGAAAAACTCCTGACCAATGAAACATTCTGTTTCAAAGGGTGTGGACAGCCTTCTTGAGGATAGCACTGGGGTTCGCTTGTGTCCTCAGACACTGGTAAACCTGTTCACCCCCAGGCACACGAACACCACCAACCCCCAGTCATGAAATTACAGCACCTCCTTCTGATGGATCACGAGGACCTATAACCCAAGCTCCAGAGGATCAAATACACACACACTCTCAAAAAAAAAATTCCTGTTAAAATGTTTTCTTGTTTATTTTTATGTCTTTGGGTAGTTTGCCTGCATATCAACTTGTACACAATGCCCTTTGGAGCCAGAAGAAGGTGCCTGATACGTGGGAGCCTGAATTACAGGATGCGTGAGCAACCAGAAGTAGTGCTGAGAATCAAACCCATGTCCTCTGGAAGAGCAGCCAGTGCTCTTAACTACTGAACCATCTCTTCAGCCTCACCATTGTTTTTTAAAAGTAAGTTATTGAGTATTATCCTGGGTATATTGACTAATGAGCTTAGGATCACGCTAAGAGATGTTATTATCAGTGGGTTAGACTCATCCCGGTAAGCCACAACCCTGTGGGGAACACAAACTAATAGAAATGGGTTAGATCAAGATGTGAGAGTTAGCCAATAAGAGGCTAAATATAATGGGCCAGACAGTAATTTAATTAATACAATTTCTGTGTGGTTATTTCGGGGGTTAAGCTAGCCAGGTAGCGGGATGCGGCCCACGCCTCCTCACAACAGATCTCCATGAGTTCGAGGCCAGCCTGGTCTACAAGAGCTAGTTTCAGGACAGCCAGAGCTGTCACACAGAGAAACCCTGTCTCAAAAGCAAACAAACAAGCAAAAAGAGATGTTATGTAAACCAGTCTGACCTAAGTGAGCGTTAATGTCTAATCAAAGCCCCTGACTATAATGCTTTGGTTTTAGTCAGAATGTTTGATAAGTATTGGGTCCCCTATTATTGGGTTCTTCCGCTGAAGTAATAAGCCAAATCAAACTGAATTAATAAATCTGGATTTAATAAACAGCAAAGCAAAGCAGAGCACTCCCCGGTGACTCTCAGGAAGGCAGGAGGAGAACACATGACAGAACTATGGGCGGGGTCTTAAATAACGTGTGGACTGTCATAAGCAGTTCCAGGGGAGGAGCTGCAGATAACAGGCTTCCTCAGGGGCGGGGTTTGGAATGGGAGGAGTGGGACTGGGTGGGGCTTTCCAACAACACTCTGCTTCATTAACAGAATTTAAAAATTACTTACTAGTGTGTATATGTGTGCATGTGCACACACGCAAGAGTACATACTTGTGAACATGAATGAATGAATATTTATAATTCATTTGTTGCCACATGTGGTAGTCAGAAGGCACCTTTGTGGGCTCAGTTCTACCTTTAAAAGTTACTTGGGCCTGGAAAAATGGCTCAGCAGTTAAGAGTACTTACTGTTCTTACGGAGGACCTGAGTTCAATTCTTAGCATCTGAATGGTGGCTTGTAACCATCTGTAATTCCAGTTCCAGAGAATCTGATGCTCTATTCTGGCATCTGTTGGCACTGGGAATGCAAGTGGTTACAAACATACATTCAAATTTAATGTGTGTGGGCATTTTGTCTGCATGTATATTTGTATACTGTGTGAATGCCTGAGAAGCCAGAAGAGGATATTGGATTCCCTGGGATTGGAATTAGAACTGTTTGTGAGTCACCATGTGGGTACTTGGAATAGTACCTGGGTCATCTCCAAGAGCGGCCAGTGCATAGAATTCTCGGCCATGTCTCTAGCTCTCTTCTTTCTGTAGATATGGGACTAGGCTATTTTGCAGGCCATTAGTGGAAATCTTTTTTTAAAATGAAAACTGAGTTCATTTAGTGTTGTATCCAAAATTGGGGAGCAAAAATTTCTCAGTATTTCTTGGCCTTGCCAATATCACTGTTACAATTCATAGAAGAGATTATATGCATATTTAGTTGTAGACTAGGAGGGAGGGAGGCAGGGAGACACAGAATACGAACTTCTAGCAACCTGGGAAGTCAACCTTTTTCCATAGGACTTCTGCTCAGGTAAAGGCAGGCAGTTCCTTGATTATGACATAGAAATAATTTCATGACAAGCCAAAGTGAAGCAAAGTTAGTGAGCTTATTTAGTAAGTGTGTAGATAGGAAATCATGGGGGAAAGACAGTGTATAGTCCTGAGGCATGTGTATGGGCTTCTCAAGAGAAAAGGCCATTATGGGTCTTTAAAATGGCTGTCTTTGTTTGTTTGTTCTTGCTATTTATATGCCTTTACTCCTTAGCAAATGAGCCCAACATAAAGCCTTCATAGTGGCATACACAATAAATGTCATTTTGAAACCTTTGAAAATAGTTACCCCTTTTCACCACCATGTGGGTACTAGCGATTGAACTCAGGACCTCTCAAAAATCAGCAAGTTCTTTTAACCACTGACTCATCTCTCCAGCCTCTTCTTTACCTTTTCATGTCCCCATAATTTTCCATGGCTTTTTATCCTGCCTCAGACACAAGTTACCAAACAGGTCTTTCTCCTGGTACCAAGTAGGAAGATTCTTGCCATGAATCATTTCCCTGACAAGTCTGGCATTTCTTGGGGCTCCTTCCTAAAGGACATCTGGATTGCTAGGCATATTGCCAGTGGTCAGATCTGTGTGAATTTAGCTCAGAGACAAAGATGAATTTTGTTGCACACTACATAGAAAACTTTTTCATTTACTTTTATTTGTATCTTCATGTTAATGAGGTTCAATGTGAAGTTATTACACGTATACAATGTGGAATTGTCAATGTAGGCAGTGAGATTCATCTCAGATACCTGGTTTTGCTAATAAAAACTATTTCATAATAAGCTTTAATGAAACATTTTAGGGAGCTTATGAAGTAGGGATAGTAAGTAGCACACACTGCAAATTTAATGCAGGCATTAAGGGGGTAGTATACACATAAGACATGATTCTGAGCATCTCACGAGGTAGAGGTATACTAAATTTTGTTAGCATATATTATAAGAACAGTGATTTTCATACATAATACACAACCCCATTACCCTCTCTTGTCTCCTTCCTCTCTTCCTCTTATCACTAGATATACATATGTTTTTTGTGTCTTTTAAACTGCTCAGAGGATATAATTTATAGTGGGTTAAAGGTTTAAGCAATATTTAAAAGTTAAGATTAAAATTAAATAAAATATGAACTGGTTTGCTTATTTTACTTAATTTCCTTCTTATTTTTAAAGATTTATTTATTAATTATGTATACAGAGGGCACCAGATCTTATTACAGGTGGCTGTGAGCCACCATGTGGTTGCTGGGAATTGAACTCAGGACCTCTAGAAGAATAGCCAGTGCTCTTAACCTCTGAGCCATCTCTCCAGCCCTTAATTTCCTTTTCTAAATGTAACCATTAAGGTGTTTTATCAGTTCTATTGTTCAGGATTCACATTGACAGGGGCTAATATAGTTAAATTCAAGATCACACACATTAAGGGTTTGCGTAAACAGTTCATTTGTTGTTTTTATCAACCTTGTGTGAGATGTCTTTGGGAGAGGAGGCATTGTTTTTGCAGGTAGCTCGAATTTCCTGTTGTGCTGAAGTTTCTTTCTCTCATATTCTGGGGGTGAGGTTCTTCTTTCCTGGTTAGGTATCACCATACTTTTCTCTGTGGTTTTAAACTTGTCTCAGAATGATTCAGTCAAATTAATATAACCGTTGCCTGGCAAACTTAGCTCATCTGATATGATCATTAGAAATATACTCATAGTAATTGACAAAGTCCAATGCTCTCTTATTCCCATAGTGATCATGCTGATGAGAGACCTCAAAAATTAGTCCCCTAGGGCTGCAGAGATACCTCAACAGTTGAGAGAGCTGGTTGTTCTTGCAGAGGACTCAGGTTCAATTTCCACCACTCACAAGGCAGCTCACAACTGTCTGTAATTCTAGTCCCAGGGAATCTAATGCCTTCTTCTGGCCTTTGCAGGTGCCAGGTGCACATGAGATGCACAGATGTACAGGCAGTCAAACATCCATACACAGAACTATTAAATGAAAATGATTTACAAAAACTATTCCTCCTATCTAATTGAAACTTCCATATTTGACCACCATCTCTCCACTCAACCCACCTTCCAGTTTCCTGTCACCACCACTTTATTTTCTGTCTGTGACTGCAATGGATTTAGATTACACAAAGGTGAGAACACACAGTATCTGCATTTCTCTAAAAGCCTGCCTGGTTTCACCTCCCATAGGAGGCATATATAAATGTTGTACCTTGTGTCAACCCCTTTACCTTTGAAACAGAGTCCTACTATGTAGTCCTAAATGATCTGGAATTGTCTATGGAGAGCAGGTTTGTCTCTAATTCACAGATATCCTTCTGCCTCTGCCTTCCAAGTGCTGGGATTAAAGCCCTGCAGAACCACACCCAGCTCTGTTTCAACTCTAGAAGCACAGGCTCTGAGTCCAAAACAAGTAGAAGTTTTTCCACCACTGTGTTTTAGACTTATTATGAAGCAATAGGAAAACCAAAACACAGGAGGCTGAATTAATAAAAAGTGGACTAAAATTAACAGGGTGGCAAGTGGTTTGTATAGATAGACTAGTAGAGAAGGTTTTTATTTTTGCTGCTACCGAGTGGCCTTTTTACATCCACAGACTACAGAATGAGCAGAAGTGGACAGTTGTGGAACTATTGGAAGGGGAAGTTGTTGAAGTACGGAGCGGCGGGCTGTGTCCCGCCACCCGGCTAGCTTTACCCAAAATAATTACACGGAAACTGTATTCTTTTAAACACTGCCTGACCCATTAGTTTCAGTTTTTTATTGGCTAGCTTTTACATATTGATCTAACCCATTTCTATTAATCTGTGTAGCCCACGAGCTGGCTTACCAGGAATGATCTTAACCTGCGTCTGTCTGGAGTGGGAGAATCATGGCAACTCCCTGACTCAGCTTCTTTCTCCCAGCATTCCGTTCTGTTTACTCCGCCTACCTAAGGGTTGGCCTATCAAATGGGTCTAGGCAGTTTCTTTATTAATAAGAAATCACTCCCACATCATTTCCCCTTTTTCTGTTTAAACAAAAAAGAAAGGCTTTAACTTTAACATAGTAAAATTACATATAGCAAAACAGTTATCAAGCAAGAATTACAGTTACAATATTTATATCTATTTTATCTTTTATCATAACTAAGGAAAACTATAACTATCTATTCATTCTTCAACTCCATCAAAGACTCCAGAAGGATATAATACTACCTAAGTAAAAAAGAAATAAGAAAACTCTAGAAATGACAGAGACATCTTGCTGCCTGGACAGTCACCCAAAGTTCTTTTGTACCTTTGGGGCATCCATCTTCAGCCTTTAGGCCCAAAGTATCCAGCAGATATTTCCATGAAGCAGGAAATTCCAAAGACAGTTCAGTCACTATCTGCTGTGTCCTGTAGAATGT